GTATATCCTCTTTGTTCCTTTCTTCTTCCTTTTGTGGTTTGGTAATTTTCCTTTGTATTATCATGGATTTTATTTAATTTTTGTGACTCCCTTGTAAATTTTTGACTTGTGGTTACCCTTTTTTGTAAATCTATTAACCTATACCTGTTACAAATTTCTTACATTGAAAAAACTTAATTTATGTAGAGAGTGATCGCTTCTCCTTCCTACCTCCTCTTGTTTTTGTTTGGATGATCCCCAAATCAGATCCAGGTTAATTAATTCTTTCATCCATTGACTACCTTGCCTCTTGTCTCCCCGGAACTGGGTACATAGTCATTAGTGGTCCAGCTATGGCTCCTGTCCTCATGGAGGCTAACGATGTTGGCTAATATTTATTACATGTTTACTTTGTGCCAGACATTTAATACCATCATCTCATTTTATTCTCACATCAACCCTATGAGGTCGGTACTGTTGTTATCTCTATGTTAGAGATGAGGATAAGGAGGCTTAGGGAAATGAAGTATCACAGCTGGTAAGCAAGTCATCTGTGGGAATTAACAGATAATAAACAAATTAGTGGTGGGAACGTCCCTAAAGGTAAGTGGGATCATCCATAGTTTAGAGCAATGGTAGCCTCTGTGGACTTTGAATGTTCATGGCTCGCAACTAAGTAGGAAAATAGAATTATCTTGGTTTGAAAATATTTTCCTAAATTTCTTCTGAGTTCTCATTCACTCTTTTGTTTTTTTTTTGTTTTCCTCCAAAATAAGTGTCTTAGAAGGATGAACTTGGTGTGCAGACTGGAGGGCTCAGGTACAAAGTCTCAAGTATATCTAAACAAAGCTTGTACTCATGCAAGTGTTTGATTTCCATTATACTTGGACTCTATTATTCCTGATAGGCCTTTGATATCCTCAGACTTGTAAGATTTGTTGGTCTAAAAATCTGCTATCTTTAGTAATAACATTTAGGAGTCTCTAAACAACTTATGCTTGTGCTGTAATGTGACTCCAGTTTAAATATAATTTAGATAGAATTTTTCTGTATAGGAATGGTTATCTGGGACTGCTTTATTCCACCTAAGCCAAGTGAAAAACAAGGGAAGTCTGTGAATTGGTATTGTTAAAATTAAATACTAAGTGGAGACTGGGCTTGAAAACTCCCTGGGAGACAAAACGATTTAAGCCACATAAGCAAAACTAAATCTAACTTATTTCATGAACATAAGCAAAAATTAATTTAGGTTATTTCTTGTAAATGCCGCTGATAATCGTAAAGGAAACTTATCTTCCTAAAAATGGTATAAGACAATCACTTTTAACCAACTCCCTACTGTCTGGAAACCCCCACTGAAATAACCAATCACTGTAAAGGTTAAACAACTTCCTCATTTTCACTTTATAAGCCATCCTGTAAGATCACATCCTTGAGCTTCATATCAGTTTTAAATTTGAAAGCTCTCAGTTCTCGACCTGTTCTTATATGCACATAAACTCTTACTAAGTTCAGTGTATTGATCTAGTGGTTTTAATTTTGCTATTTTTTGGATTTTTGACAGTGTTCTGGGCTGCATTGTGTCCCTCCAAAATTCATATGTTGAAGCCCTAACCCCTAGTACCTCAGAATGTGACTATATTAGGATCTTTAAGGAGGCAAGCTAGTTAAAATAAGTTCATTAGAGTGGGTCCTAATCCAGTCTGACTGGTGTCCCTATAAGAATAGGAAACTAGGACAGAGATGCATATGTAAGGAGACCATGTGAAAATACGGGAAGAGGATGGCCACCTACAAGCTGAGAAGAGAGGCCTCAGAAGAAACCAGTGCTGCCAACACTTTGATCTCAGGCTTCTAACCTCCAGAACTGTAAGAAAACACATTTTTGTTGTTTAAGCCGCTCAGTCTGCAGTGCTTTGTATGGCAACCCTAGCAAACTAATACAATTGGCTTCTAAGTATGTGCTGAAAGGTTGTGAATTTCCAGTTAGACACATTCAATTTAGATAATACAGTACAGCATCAAAGAAGAAATCCTCCAAAATAAGTGATTTTTAACAATGTAGTTTTCCTGATGATATCAGTTATACTGTACTAAGGAATGAACACTCAGAAATTCAGGGTTATGGCCCATGTGCAATTGGTGGCGGTTCATGAAGTGTATGTGCCCTTAAGCCATTTTCTAACCAAAAATTCATTTATCAATGTGTAAAATTACAGTCTTCTCCTTCATGAAATCTATAATTAAAGTTACATCAATGGGGAAATTTTAATCATAAACTCTGTAATCAAAATAAAGTCTGTAATTTGATATGGTTTTATGAAAAAGTATATTTTGGCAATACTTCTTCCTGGGTATCAGATGCAAAAAGTATGGGGCAAGACCAAGGAGAAAAAGAACAGGAAAAGCATTCACCTGGTTTTAATGGGAACATTGCTTGTTGAGTATTGCACTTGACAAGAGTGAAAGATATGTCTGTATTATAAAAACTAATTTAAGACTGCTTTTTGCTCACAAAGAGAAACAGCTGGGTTTTAGCATTTGTGTGTATTCAAGATCAGTGTTCACTGAGAAAAAGAAAATCTATAGCCATTTGGAGAAGAAAATGAAAATTTAGCTTACTCATCAGTCATTAGAAAACATTCTTTATGTGCACATGGAACATAAAACTCGTCAGATTTATAATCCAGCCGCTTTCAGTTCTTAGAAAGCTTATTCTCTTGATTAGACGCTATTTTTAGTTGAATATTTTAAACTAGAAATTAGAAATTTATACAGTATGACCATTTATTCACACTGCTACCAGGCACTATCACTAAAGACCTGTGAACCATGGACCATGCACTTACTCTGACTTCTGGAATTCTAGGAAATTCTGGGATAGGAGGATAGAATGGTGACCCAAAGAGTGCAGAGCTTCCCTTCATCCCCTCATCTTTGCAATGATTTAAAATCAAATTCTAACAACTGTGAGTACCTGAAAAAAGGGAAATCCTCATTACAGATTTATTGATCACCCCCAAGGAGATTCTTGTGCCTTAATCTACCCTTTCTAAAACAAATCAGCAGGAGTAAAGAGAAAGTAATGATTTTAAAGGACACCTGACTTGCAGCCCTGACAGCCTTTGCCAGCTGTCAGTGAAAACACCTGTGATGGTCCAGAAACGATGAAAAGCTCAGACTCCTGTCAGCCCAGAGAGGCTGGAGAGGGATTTGAGGAGGTGAGCTGCCCAGCTAGAAGGCGGCGCGAGGAGCCAACATAATGCGCGAGGAGCCGACATGGAGCAAAACAGCACTTTACTGCTGTACAGGCAGGTGGCGCCCGCTCAGGTGTATGCACTTGTTCTTTTATAATGCCCGCGCATAGGTATTGTTCATAATGCTGACTCATGCTATTGGTGCATGCCTGTTGTTCATAATGCGGACTCATGCCACTAATGCATGCGTACACTTACTTCTTACCTCATACACATGCAAATTATTATGAACCTTGACCTGGGTCCCAAGACCTGCTCACTTAAGACTGCCGACACTCCCCCTGCAAAAATGGTAGGATTTCTGTCTACCCATCATCCACCATAAAGGATTTTCGCCATCCGTGAAGCAGCAAAACAGAATGGAAGATTGAAAATAATTGACAGACCACCTACATTCTGCTGCCAGAACAGGAATGATCCTTCCTAATTGAAAGTAGATATAAAGACGCTTGTCTTCCTTCTTACCATGCCTGGAATGTGCAGGCACTATCTTCTGAGGCAGCTAGATTGCAGGCTCCCCACTCCTACCCACTTCCACCCCCTAAATTAGTCAATATCCACCTGAGAATTGCAGCTCCCTGAAAGCAACAGGGGAGGATTTGGGAAGGAATCAAAAGTAGCGCATTGCATTCTGGGATGTATGAATCCCACCACACCCCCCGCTCCAGAGACTACAAGAAGGGAAAGAATAAGAAGCAGCTTTGTGGCCACTGGGGTTGCAGCTTTGTATACATTACATCTTTTCAGAGTATTAGGGCTCTGGAAGGTGAAGGAAAGCGAATATACCATCTTTTTCCTTCAGAGTTGCATTCAGTGAAATTTTGCTGGTTACTAGAAATGAGTCTAGGTCAGGATTCTCAACCTGTTCGCTATTGATACTTGGGGCCAGGTAATTCTTTGTTGTGGGGTGCTGGCACGTGTATGTTTAGCAGCATCCCTGGATCTCTAAGATCTCAGGATTTTTTGCAGTGCCTCAACCTCTACTTATTAGAAGCCAGTCCTTCCCACCCCAAAATAACAACCAACAATGTCTCCAGACAATGCCAAATGTCCCTCAGGGCAAAATCACTATTGGTTGAGAACCATTGGAAGAAGACAACCAAGACATAACTGAAGAATAGATTGTTGAGTAGAAAAAAAAGACCTAGGTATGTAGATCAACGCAGATCACTGAGCACTAGGCAAAAATCTATAGTTACTGTTATTTATTGAGGGTGCATTTTATGCCAGGTGCTGCTCTAAGTGCTTTACCACATTATCTCACTTAACCACAGCATACGCTATGAGGTGGTCACAATTATCATCTCCATTTTACAACCAAAGAAATGGAGACACAGAAAGGTACGGCAGGAGTCTGCCTTTAAGTCAAATTGAATCAAATCGGATTCAATCCCAGGCAATCTGATTCCAGAGGCAGCTTCTTATCACTAAGGTATAAACAGGTATACCTGGATAGCCCTTTGTAAATTGCAGGGCATTTTCCCAGTTCAGTCCTGCCTCTTTCCCTAATTTACCTACATTCCATGATGGTTTCTTCTTACGGATTTAACATCAAGCAGATGAAGAGTCTATCTGGACTAAGGCAGCAGTATAGTTGCAGCACCAGACCTATCGGCTGGGGGCCTGGCATTCATTTTAACACTTTTAGGCTTCCTCTCCTTCCCTTCACTTTGGCCTCTACCCCTGGCTTCTGCCTCATTTTCTTAAGTGTTTTGTATAACCTGAATCCAGTCCACTTGGCTGAGACCTTGGGCAATCAGGAAACACCTGCCCCAGTTGTTGTTTTCTATTCCCAGGCCCCCAGCAATATCTGAGGGTGTACTCTTGAAGTATTGTTTCCCTTGTGGGACTGACCCACCGTAGACAGGACACTGACCTGCACCAAGCCTGAAATTGTTATGCCCTTTGGTTCACAGTGTCGGGGGTTAATACCGCTTTCCCTTCAGGGTCAAGCCCTGTACTACAGCCAGTTCCTCTGGATCTGGTCCCTTCCAGTCCGGGCTTCCACCCACCTCCCCCAGCGCTTCCTCTAAAAGTCCATGCTTGACTTCTCACCAGTCAAGGTAGGAAGGCCATTAGCCTTTTATTTTGGTTCTTGTTTGTTTGTTTGTGTTAAAATGTTACTTTGATCTTCCAAACAACATATGTAGCAAGGAGGTGAAAAACAACTTACGTAGCAAGCAGGGTATATATTCCCATTTGAGCAAAGCAGAGTGGTGACTACTTCAAGTCACAGTGCTACTTAAGTGGCACGGCCAGAGCTTACACACAGGTCATGAAACCATAGATGTTTAGGGCTCAAAAGGCCTTTAAAAGTCATCTGATCCAACCAAGTAAACGAAACTTGGCTCTCCTGCATAACATCTCTGCCAACTAGTTAACTAGCCTGTGTTTGAATGCCTTCCCTCACAGGACAGCTCAGTTTCATCTTCAGTTCTGACAGTCATTTGTTTAGTCCTTCTCACACTCTTTAATGCATTAAATAAGTATTTCAGGGCCTAACATGTGCACCATCAGGCGCTATGTGGCTATTGAGGTAATTTCTGGAAGTCACTTTACTTA